CTATTTGCTACCCATACATGATAAGCATGGTAATTGGACCACTATTTATATTGTGCTTTCCTGCTGTTACTTCACCTATTCGCACTCACATGCTTGAATTCGGTGTTTTAATCTATTCACTTTTAGTACATTTTTAACTGTTAAGAAAGCACTTCAATAGGATGCATTGTGAGCAGTTTAGGGAAACGTCAGGTGAACTGGAGGAGCAGAGACTGAACCACCTTTAAATGACAGAGAACCTGCTCTACCTTCCTTCCTCAGTCTCTGTGTACAACTCTCAATTCTCGTTCAATACAACAAAAAGAAGGAAGGCACCACCTTGTGGCACTATAACCGACTGAACTTTACGGAGGAGAGTCATCAAAGAGACAGTCCTTTGAAAAAGCAAAACAATAAAAAAAAAGTAATGCAAAAATTGGCCAATTAAAATCAACTGCTGAGGGATTTGACTGGCATATGCATCCAGTCCTACAAGCAATACTGGGGTTTGGCAGGTGACTGGCTTAAACAAATACATGGAAAATGACCCGGTCTAACACGCATCTTTTTGATTTTCCAAAACATTTAACTATCCAATTTAGAGTTTCATTGTCCAAACTTTCCAAACTTGTTTAACTTTTAAATATTCCTGTCCCCACTCAAGACGTCATAATGTAATGAGATTCCAGCATGCAGAAACCAAAATCCTGAATTCGCCTTTTTTTTTGTAAACCGACATATCAAAGTCATATTGAGATTTGTCCGACATACGCATTGTGATCAACCACATAATAACCACTTCTTCTTTCTGTTTCCTGCATAAATCTGGTGGTCTGTTTTGTGTGCTCAGCTCTGCTGTTAAGGTCTCCCCAGTACCAGCACTTTCTTTGCTCTTTCTTTCTTTTTCAACTTCTAGAGCCACTGTTCCCCCTGCCGACTTGTCAGCTTTTTCATTGCTGTTATTTTGTTTTTTTGTGATCCAACTCTTCAGGGGGAGAAAAAAAACAAAAGAAAAGACAGTACTGCCTTGGTGTCTGGTAGACGACAGAAGACATCTTTTCGTCTTCTGTCCTTTTTTGTGCTTTTTTGTTTTGTTTTTTTCCACATATTGCCTTTTTTATTTTTTTCCACGGGTTGTTTTCATGTGGAGCTAAGGAACTCCTCATCCACTGCCAAATGTCTGACATCAAGGTTTGTGGAGCTTAAAAAGGAATTTCTTTGGTCTGTGTGTTTGTGTGTGTATCTGTTTGAGGTCCTGAGCATTGAGGTGGTGCAGGGATTTGTCAGCTAATGGCTGACAACGCGCAGACACACACACGCACACTATCACAGACCATGCACATTTTCTTCTTTTGTTGCTGTTGTTGTTTTCTCTTTCACACACTTGCACATACGCATACACACACAAGTAGGAATTTGCCTGCTAATAGGTGACAGCGATACCGTAGGGATTGCTGCTGCGAGTTATCTAATTAAAAACCCTGCAGTCACATTGAAGCCCAATCTATAACAAAATCTGTGAATTAAAAAAAAGAAAGAATTCACAGATCTGATTTTTAACTACCACTTAAATAATCCGAACTGGTCTAAGTGACTAAAAAATATTTATTTTAATAGAATATATGGGGAGAGGTACGGTTCAGTAGCACATTGTGTTGCAAGTTTAGCCGTTTAGGAGGCAGCTGATCTTTAAAAAAACCCCTCTTCTTCCAAAATCCCCCATCTTAAAATTGCTATTCTGATTAAAATAGTAAAGAAAAAACGAGACCAAAGAATAGCTAAAATAGCCAAAAAGACAAAAAAAACAGTATAATGCAATGTGTCTACATGTCTCTCCACAGAACAGAGCAAACTGTGAAATCCTAGTAGAGAAGTAGGAGAACCCAGTGTGCAACTGTAAATACATCCTAGTGTCTAGTTTAAGAAATACAGGTACTTGATCACCTACACATTACACCTTACCAGGAGCTGCTCAGTTATGGAAGTCCATGCCATGAAGTTCCCAGGGTGCAGTTTTCGTGCAGATGTTAATCCCCGAGGTGGTTTATTGTGTCAGCAGACCACTGGCAACTTTTAGACATGGTGCGCCTCACCAACCGTGCTCTGTGACTTTACGTGGTCTGCCACTTTGTGGCTGAGTTACTAAATGCTTCCACTTTTCAATAATACCGCTTACGGTTCAAACAGTTGGAATATCTAGGAGGAAAGACATTTTCCAGTCAGAATTTCCCATCCACTCATTCCGTCAGAAATGTTTGTAAAGGCAGACTGCTGTGGCCCGATATCTTTGTCCTATAGTGTAGCTCCTCTGGTGGATGTGAGGATAGTACCTGTCATTATAAGGTACTCATAAGATAAAGATTGTCTTACGTCATTCACAAGTATGTATAGTATAGTATGAAATCTTGCATTTTGGCTTTTTCTAAATGGAGGCACCATCACTCAACCCAAACCAAATCCTTCTCTAATCAACACAAAGGCTTTCGGCTGTGTTTTTCAGCTGGATCAATGAGCTTTTTCAATCACTTAGCTTATCAACACAACATTTAACAACAGAACAAATTTAGCTAAAAATGGCCGCTTTCATTGATGTTCCGCTTGTAATCAATCAATATTTATGAATAATTACATTGTTCAATTAATTGTTTATTGTCATTTAAATTTTGTTTAAGAGCTTGTTTGTTTAAGAATCACAAGCCTATAGTACAGTTAACAGTAGATACTCAGGTAGCACTTTATAATAATGTCATACTTTTAAGCAATAGTAATGTAAAATATTGTCAACTATTTTATTCATCATTTATATATCATTACTCCTCCTTAGTATGCCATTTATAAATACTGATGTTTATCCACCCATCCATTACACCATGTACAGCTAACACTGCTACTACATCACAACTAATAGTAATTATAATCGTAGTCATAGTAAAATATCTCTATTTATAAATGGCATACTAAGGAGGCTTAATGTGACATAAATGATGAATTTTTCACTAGTGAGACATTATCATAAAGTGCTACCGATACTCAGTGTAATGTATGTTTTTCCTCATACTGTGCTTTGTAAGGTTGTTTTAGAAAAGGAATGCAACTCTATTTCCCTTCCCTGTATGGTTATGTTTTATGCACCGAGTTAAAAGCACCGTTAAGATACAGAGCTAAATGTGAGTCGACTCATCTATAATAAAATCTCAGTTTGGATCAGTTAAGTTCATCAAAAGATGAATATGAGACTTAGAAACAGAGCGTCAGTATTTAATTCCGGGACCTCACGGTTCACCATGTTAAACAAAGACACTGCCAAGATCAACTCTGGCTCTCTGTCACATGCTTACACT